CACTTACTTGACAGTGCCGAAAATACCTGATTGACTAAAAAAAAAAACATAGTACTTTATTACCATGATGTATTGTCAAAGTTGGAAAACAGGCTTGCATCACATAGCCTTAATGCAAGGTTCTGCAGTAGGTGATATATGTATGTTTCCTAGGTGAAAAACGCTGCAGTGCTAGTTGATCACTCTTTAAGAATCAGCAGAATTTACACCTAAATATCTCAATTCCACTTATTCCCATTACATGGTGATTTATTTGTATTTAATTTATTTAATTTTTTTTTGTGAATGCAAATGTTTTTGTTATTGTCTTATAAGAACAAAAATGAGAGAGTGAACAAATATCCAAAGTTGTGCATTTTTTGAAAACATTTAATGGTGAATAAATGTTTCTGTTTTAATTAAATGAGGCATTACTGTCAGGAAAGTGGCGCAATAATAAAAATCTGTTCAAAATATTTATATAGTCTATTTCAGATTAACAGCACTAAAGCTAATACTGTATAACAACCCTAGATTAAAAATCCAGCACACTGCAAAACCTTGGGGATGGAGGGATGTTTTATATTTTGGACAAAAACCTTTTGGTTAGCATGTACGTCAATGTATAACCCGAATCTTTTGCACCTTAGCACACTAGTGTGTCCATTTATGAAATTTGGACACACCCCAACTCGTAATGTGTTTGTGCGAAGGGAATGAAGATTTAAGCACACCATTCAGCTTGATCAGACTTAGTGTATAAAATCGATGACATTCTGACCACGAGGACAAGTCAGAAGTCCCCTATGAAACAAACCAAAAGGCTGCTGTATTGGTGTTGGTAGTGGGATTGGTGCCTTAATGATCGTGCGTTTAGGTGGCCTTGGGACTTGCAGCTCTCCAGAAATGTCATTAGGAGGTCTTTCTTTTTCATCAGTTAAGATGAAGAACAAGCAACGTTTCACTCTAACTGAGAACCATTTGTCAGCACCTCTTATCCCGAGCAGATCAAACAGTTGACAAGTAGAGGACTAAGCCCCAAAAAAAACGAAAAAGGATCCACACTGTATTTCGAAATATAACAGCAGGAACAAGAGAAGCTACATATTTTTTTTATAAAAAATAAAGCACGTTACCAGTTATGTTTTTATCATAGGGGAACACCACCTCCAAGGGACAGCTTACACTTCTGCATTTGTGGGCACTTTTATGACCATCTTGGTGCTTCTGGTATTCTGTAGTATGGACACAAGTGAAAAAACAGGTAGTTAAATTGTGAAACTGCTCATTCTGTTTGCTTTGTGTTCAGTGGCACAAAATGTGCCAAGGGTTATTCTTCTGGTCTGACAAAAGTTTGCTATGGACCTGCATTGATTTGCAAGGAAGACCACTGACTTTATTGAGCATTTTTTTGTACAGTATACCAGCAAATGGCAAATTCAAATCTAATGGTGTTCTAGTCAATGAACGCCTGTGGTTTTTAAAAACGTGAGTTTTCCTTACATGTTTCAGCATTGGCCTCATTGGTTCAGTTTTACCACAAACTGGAAATAAATTAAGTCCAGCATCAACAACAAGAAGAAAGTTCTCCATTATAAAACGTGTTCACTTTTTAACAACTCAAATATGTGATGTTCTTTGCAATTTGTAGTACATTCATTATAGGAACAAGTAATATTACTTTTAAACTATTAAAACTATTACTTGTTCCTTTGCAGCCTACGCATGCCGACGCAGCTACCCACCTGAACTAGTACATTCATTATAGCTCTAGTACCAAATGAAAATGTGCCATGCTGTAATAATTAATGCTGATGCAAAGCTTAGATTAATAAAATGCTAGAGAGGATGTTACAATGATAGTTTTTTTAGTGTGGTGAACTGAAACACAAAAAAACAGATAACAGAAAAGTTAAATTGGCTGCTCTTCTAACTTCACAGTCTTCTTCTGATGCCCAATATTGTAATACAAGTAACTGTATAAATGCTTTGCTGTAAAAGTGTATAGATTTTCTGGAAAAGCAAACATTCCCTTTTCTAGGATTTTGCTTTTTCAGCCTGGCTGTCGAGGAGCTGTGTGATGGTGTCCTCCTCCGTGTCAAAACTCACTTATGACACCCAGCATGGTGATGAGAGTGATGACCCACAGGCAGGCAAAAGCCAGTGCAGCTCTCTTGTACAAAGACGTTGTCCTAACAAATCTCTCCTGTGACCCTGAGGAAAACAAAAACACAATTATTTTATCAGCTGTTTAATGATCAAATTGCTTCTTCGTTTATTCTCTTGCTGAGATTTTGGGTACAAGACAAACACCACAGTCACAAGCCACAAGTGGGCAGTGAATAATGAAACCAAAGCACAGAGGGCTGACCAGTTCCAGCCCTGAAGGGACTGGCTGCAAGTGAGGAGCCTCATCAAAAGATGATCCTCTGCTTTTGTTCTAATTATCCTCTCATTTCCCTAACATGTAAGAGCAATAAAAGGCAT